GGTGTCATCCCATCCCATCCCACCCCTACATCTCGCTGGGTGTCATCCCATCCCATCCCACCCCTACATCTCGCTGGGTGTCATCCCATCCCATCCCACCCCTACATCTCGCTGGGTGTCATCCCATCCCATCCCACCCCTACATCTCGCTGGGTGTCATCCCATCCCATCCCACCCCTACATCTCGCTGGGTGTCATCCCATCCCATCCCACCCCTACATCTCGCTGGGTGTCATCCCATCCCATCCCACCCCTACATCTCGCTGGGTGTCATCCCATCCCATCCCACCCCTACATCTCGCTGGGTGTCATCCCATCCCATCCCACCCCTACATCTCGCTGGGTGTCATCCCATCCCATCCCACCCCTACATCTCGCTGGGTGTCATCCCATCCCATCCCACCCCTACATCTCGCTGGGTGTCATCCCATCCCATCCCACCCCTACATCTCGCTGGGTGTCATCCCATCCCATCCCACCCCTACATCTCGCTGGGTGTCATCCCATCCCATCCCACCCCTACATCTCGCTGGGTGTCATCCCATCCCATCCCACCCCTACATCTCGCTGGGTGTCATCCCATCCCATCCCACCCCTACATCTCGCTGGGTGTCATCCCATCCCATCCCACCCCTACATCTCGCTGGGTGTCATCCCATCCCATCCCACCCCTACATCTCGCTGGGTGTCATCCCATCCCATCCCACCCCTACATCTCGCTGGGTGTCATCCCATCCCATCCCACCCCTACATCTCGCTGGGTGTCATCCCATCCCATCCCACCCCTACATCTCGCTAGGTGTCATCCCATCCCTGCGCTGGCGCCGCCGGGGAACAAAAGCTCCTCAGAGCCCGTGGGTTGATAATTGCTCCTTGTTTAGTGCCGAGGTCCTCTCCCTCGGGGGGCTGAAGCGCAGAGTCTTCTCCAAGTCCGACAAAGCAAACCACTTTGGGGGCTAGAAAACCTCATCGCTTTCGTTTTTCTTGTGCAAAATCACAGCCTGGAGCCAGACAGTTATCCCACATTCCCAGGGCTTGGGAGGGCTGCAGGACTCACCTCGCTTGTCTTTGGGCTCCAGCCTTCCCTCACTGTCCCTTCCTGGGCGTCCTGCCTGCCCCCCGGGAGCACCTGGCCCACCCACACCCCATGTGGGGTGCCCCGTGGCCCTGCATGTGCAGGCTGGTCCCAAAGCAGTGCCAGGGGGTGGAGGTGGCCCTGGGGACACAGGGTTTGGCAGGGCACTGGTGAAGCCCCTCTGAGTGGGCAGAGAGGCCTGGCTGTGGTGTGATGCTGCCCCTGAGATGGCAGGGCTGTGCTGGGGGCCCAAGTGCCCCTTGGCCCCTGGGGCATCCCAGTCCTGGGGGTAGTGCTGGCAGGGCAGTGCTGAGGGCTGGGGTGCCAGCACAGCCAGGCTGCCTGAGCACCCCACACCTGGACCTTCCCCGTGGTGGAAGGATCCTGCCCTCACGGGGCTGGTTGGAGTGACTCTGCATCCTTCAAGGGTCCCACATGCTGTGAAGTGGCCGGGCCCCAGCAGGACATGCTGCCAGTCCAGCTCCTGGTGCTTTCCTCCTGCATCCATTTCCCTGTCTGTGAGGAGCAGCCCTGGCCTGCTCAGGACGGGCTGTCTGACTTTGAAGCATGATATTTTCTTTAAGAACATCTATGCCTGGGCAATGTGCAAAGGGCACTGAGTGCTCCGAGTCCTGGCAGGACTGTTGCCTCTTCTTGCTGCATTGAGATCACCTGAGTCCAAAGCTGGTGTCCCAAACAGCATGGGACGTGCTGTCCAGCAGGCTGTGGTCCATCCAGACAGGCTGGTTTGCTAATTGTCTGGCACTTGGTGTTGCCCCAGGGCGGCTCCAGGCGGTGGGTGTGGGCAGGAGGTCCCGGTAAGGGAGGGTCCCAGTGCCATCATGCACAGTGGCAGAGCTTTGCTCCAGCAGAATCAGGCCCTCCGTGGTTGGTGTGGCAGGGAAGGCTGGCATGCTGTGGCAGTGCCTGGCCATGAGGACATTTCTTCAGCCCCACACAGGTGCCCGAGGGAGCCCATGGGGCTGGTGAGGGGCTGTGCTGCCCTGAACCTGTGCGTGCCTGTGGCTGTCCAGCCCTGGCTGTGCTGTTGGCAGGCTGAAGGGAAGCTGCCAGTGCCAGTGATGTTCATTTTACTGTCTGGGAATCCTGTTAACCTGGTGTAACTCCATTAACTTCCATTTAAATCAATTCACTTGGCCATGGATACTGGCCAACCTGTGCCCACCGCTGCTTCCTGTGGTGTCAGGTGGGGGGGGAATTTGGTTTGTCCCATGTAAAGAAAAACCTCAGCACCAAATGGGTGTGGGTGCCCCTCACTTTTTCTCCTTCCCCTCTCCACAGAAGCTCCCGATGGGGCTGGGCAGGCGACGGGGCTGCGAGGTACCAACAGAGACAGTCTGTGGAACTTGGCCGGGAGGACAGAGGGAGATTGATGTTTGCTTGGGTGCTTGGCCCTCAGCTGCAGGCTCTGCCTGCCCCCACGCCAGCTGAGGACAAAAGCGCTGGGCCCGGGTGGCACTGCAGGGCTGGCGTAAGCCCCCTGGGACAGCTGGCAGCTCTGTAAGGCTGGCACCTGCCCAGCGAGCCAGGGCAAGGGGGTGGCACAGGGAGGCTTGCCCATTGGGATGCTTGCCCATGTTCGGGTGTCTGAGCTCCACCGTGGAGCTGGAGCCCCTCCCTGGTCCCACATCATGGGTCCTGTTCCCTGGCCAAGCCTGGATGGGGTGGAAAGGAGCTGGGGTAACCATGGGGAGCACCCCAGAGAGCTGAGGAGAAAGAGTGATGGGGTCCGGGGCTGGGAGCTCGCTGGAGGTTCCCACACAGCCTGCTGGCATCTGCCATGTGGGAGATAAAACCTGACAGTCACCGCCTATTATGTCATAAAAATCACCTGGGGTGGTAATGATATCTGGGTGTAATTGCAGGTCAAGACTCTTGTCCCCACAAGGCAGCTGTGCCCTTGTTCCCACATCCTTCCCATGCAGGGGGGAACCTGCCAGGAGCTGGCTGCAGGGTCCTCAGCAGAGACGAACCCCCAGCACAGCACTGAAAATCCCAGGAAAGCTTTATTTGTGTAGGAATATTGAGGCTGTTTAAAAAACCACCACTACTAGAGGGTGATTTGGCTACCCATGCCTGCAGGTGCTGCTGGGATGCTGGCAGCACCCCATTCGGTGCTGCCTCAAGGGGCTGGGTGCTGGGTAAGCTGAAGAGATGAGGGGCACCCCTTCCTCCACCTCCAAATGGGGCCTCCCCAAAAACAAGTCTCAAAAGCCTGGCCTAGACACACGGTGGAGCCCTGCAGGGACCCCCCTCAGTGGGGAAGGGATGCCTGGCATGTCAGTGGGATGGAACTGGCTTGGCCCATCCTGGTGAGTCCTAGGGGTGGCCTGGGGCTGGTTCTCCTCTGCTTGTCCCCTCTGTGGAATGGGTGTGTGTGGCTGTGTGCTCTGTGGGGCTGGAGGGGGGCTGGGCAGGGGGTAGGGGTGCAGGGCTTTGCTCCCAGTGAGTGGTGCATGGGAGAGGGTGATGCTGCCAGAGGAGCAGGGCCAGGAGCCATGGTGGAGGTTTCTGGGTGGGTCTGGCCTCAGCAGGCAGTGCTGCCCTCCTGCCCACGTCCCCCTGCCCTGCAGGGTCCCTTTTGCAGGTCAACGGGGCCCTTGCTGTGCCATGGTGGCACCACAACCTCCACAGAAAGGGGTGAATCCCATTTCCACCCTGCCCTGCCTGGAGAACCCTGGGCCTTCTGCCACACCTGAGGCCATGAAAAGATGGACCCTGCTGGGCTGTGAGCCTGCCTGGGCTGGCTGTGAGCAGGGGGAAAGGAGAGCATCAACACATTTCTCTCTGTAGGACCCACATAAACATCACCTACGGCTTTTATTTCCTGCTAAGCACAGAGGATATCCAGGTCTGGAGGGCTGGAAGCCTTGCTGAGCTTGTCCTGTCAAGGTGTCAGATGCTCTGCTCTCTGCTGGAGGAGCAGTGGGGGAGAACCTGCCCGGAGGACACCATGCTTGGGCGCTGGGGTGGGGAGAAAGCTGGGGAACGGGGCAGTTTTCACCTCCAGCTCTCTGCTGGCACAGCGGTGCTGTGGGAACGCAGCAGGCTGGGAATGCCACCAGTCAGTCCACTCCTGCAAAGGGGTCAGCCCAGCTGCCTCCGCCAGTTTCACCCCGAAAAACCTCCCTTTGGAGATTAGCTGTGACCTGCAGGCGGTGCAGTGCTGGCTCCCTGGTGCCAAGCGGCTCCGGTCTGTGCCTGCCCTGGCCACGGCTGCCCCTTCCCCTCCAGCACGTTCGGGCTCACCTGCTGCCCGCCCCGCGCAGCATCCGCGCCCCGCTGTTCTGCTGCGTGTTGGAGCTTCCTGGGGGCTGGAGAGGCCTGGGCGGAGGACCATGGGGCCATAGCCAGCACTCCACAGTCCGGGCACAGGCAGGGGTGCTGCCTGCTGTTCCCTGCATCTGAACTCCAGACCAAGGGAGGAAAGAGGACTGCAGCCTCTTGCCTGGGTAGTTGTGCCCCACAGTTCAGTGATACAGCATGGAGAAGCTTGACAGGGAAAGTGCAGAGAGGAGGAGGGTGTTTGGCTGGAAGGTGGTGTTCCCTGGCCACCAGTTGTTTCTCTTCCCAAACTACTGGGGCTCCGCTGTGCTGTGGCAGTGCAGCATCCCTGGGTACCTGGGGCTCCTCCAGCAGCACAGCTTCCCTGGGAACCCAGGAGTGACATCATGCAGGAGGGTTCCCTCTCTCCAGCTGGCTGTGTGGACCCGGGGTTGCTGATACCCCTCCTTGAGGCCCCAGCATCTGAAGGGGTGTGTGGGCTGCCACGTGTCCAGGCTCTGAGACCCCAGCCCAGCTGTGCTGCTGCTCTGGGGCAGAGGGAACTGTGGTTCTAGCTGAGCTCATGGCACCTGGGCATGCTGGGGTGTCAGACCGAGAGGCAGTCAAACTCTTCGGGCCCTCAGGGCACTGTGTGGATGTCCTCTGAGCGCAGCACTTTGTAGACAACCCAGTAGAAGATGTTGAAGACTAGGAAGGTGAAGGGGAAGACAGCTCGGGAGATGGTGTCGATGCGCTTTGCCCGGTCCAGGTACCGCCGGCGCAGACTCTCCCCTTCCCGCAGCAGCGTGGCTGGGGTGGGGCTGTAGATGCTGGGCCCTTCCCCAGCCCTGTCCTTGGGCTGCAGGCAGTGGCCCAGCCCATAGCCTCGCAAGTAGAAGCGGCTCTCACGGACCAGCTCTTCCTCCTGGCAAAGGGAAAGGCTGTCAGCTGGGGCCACCCTCGGGTGCTGCCACCGCAGGGCGAGCGAGTGCTTGTGGCTGCGTGTCCCATGGTCCCCTCTGCTGGGCCATACAGTCAATGTCAGTGCTTGGCACAAAGTTAGGTGCTTTTTTCAGAAAGGCCCAAGTGTACAGGCAAGAGCACGGGGCCAGCAGGCTGTGGGCAGAGGCAGGCAGCAGGGTGCACAGGGTGTGGGGGCGAGCACTGACCGCCTGCATTGTCATTTGGAACATGCTTTAAGAGTGCATCCAAGGGCAAGCCTGGCCCTGGCAGCTCAACACTGATCCTCCCCCAGGATCCTTCCAGCTCCAGCTGGGGGACTTGGAAAGCCCAGCTCTTTGGTGGCTGGGGAGACAGGCATGGATTGGGGTAGGGGGGGGGAGAGGGGCAGGTGGGGCTGCAGGGGATGCAGGTTGCATGAGGGTGCAGAGCACATAGGGGTGCAGAGGGTTTGGGGGTGTGGCAGCCATGTTTGCTGCAGGGTAGAAACGTGCCTGGGCACAACAGAAGAGCTGGGCAAGAATGCAGGAGCCTGGCCACCATCAGGGCTTGCTGGGCACCTAGCCCCTCCAAGGGCCCAGACTCCCATTTCTCCCCTGGCGGGGACTGCCTGGTGCAGCAGAGGAGGGAGGCTGAGAGAGCTGGGCTCCTTGCTGGTACCTCTCTGCCAGGGCTCACCCCATCTCCTCCATGCTGGTGGGGGGCTGCAGGGAGGGAAGCATGCTTGTGAAGCTGCATGCCCATGGTCAAGCCTGCAAAAGTGCCATGAGGGCCGGGCACCTGCCCTCACCCTTGGCTTGCAGCCCACAACAAGGGTTCATGGCCCCTGGGATGCCACCCCGTGGTCCTTCCCACGGACACCCATGCATCGTTACCAACTCACCTCATCCTGCTCTTTCATCCTCGAGGGAGGTTGTGTGTGCAAAGATTTGGTGAGGGACTGGCACAAGCAAGCCTGAGCTGCATGTCTGGCTTCTTGGGACACTCATTTGCCCTCCGCAGCTCATTCCCCCTGTGCCTCACCAGTGCCCTATCTGGCTGTGGTGGGTCTGTTTCCCGGGGGGAATGCTGCAGACCAGCCTCTTGCTCCCTGCCATGCTCAAACGCAGCCTCGGGGCTGGATCCCAAATCCCTTCTCTGGCTGGTGCTGCCCTGCAAACGGCAGAGAGCAGCCTCCTCGCTGAGCTCAGCCCGCACAGGCGCTCAGCCGGCAAGGGGGCTCTCATGCAGGGAGCTTCAGCTCTGGCATCTTTATTTAACTCGGCAATCTGCTGGCTAAGCAAGATACCTCAGTGGGAAAAGCAGCAGCAGCTCCAATTGCTCAGATTAGTTCTTGTTTGCAGGGGATTTTTATTCCCCTGCCCGAGGCTGAGTTGCTGACCCGGGGGGACATCGGTGCCCTGGGGGGAGCAGCTATTCCCCCAGCCAGGGCGTTTGAGGGAGGAGACTGGGAATGCTGGCCCACCCATCTGGGTCCCTCTGGGCTGGGGAAGCCCTAGCATGGTCACTAGGGCTGGGGCTGGGTGCGGGGAGCTCCCTGGGGCTGGCTTTGCAGGGAATGTGGGAGGGATCTGCCGTCGGGCTGCGGCACCTGCGCTGCATCGGGCAGCGCCAGCGTGGGATCTGTTTTAGGCCGGCAGATGGTTCCTGGGTTCGGCAGAACAGCCCCCTCCATGACCCAGTTGGGTGGGTGTTCACCTCCAGAGATCGGTGGTGCTCGGGAGATGTGAAAGGCAGGGAGCAAAGGAGAGTGTTGGAGGCAGCTGGGAAGCCTCTCCCGTTGTCCAAGGGCTGATGGTAGTGGAGAGGAAGCTTGGGGCAGTCAAGCTGGGTGGGGAGGCAAGGATGTACGAGGTCTGATCTCCTCTCTTGAGCTGCATTAGTCTCCCAGCACCTCCTCACCAGGCTGGGAGCCTGCCCTGCCTCACTGCACCTCTGTCCAGTGCCCACCTGGAGCTGCTGCAAGCAGCCACAAGTGCCTCAAACCTGCCTGTGCCAGGAAATCCAGACAGGCAGAGACCTTACCCTGCCAAAGGTGTGGGCACAGCCTGGGAAGCTGGGCAGCAGCCCAGGAGTAGCCATTGATCTCTCCCAGCATCACTCATCCCTTGGCAAAGGGGGCTGAGCTGGTCCTGCCTTACAGAAGGGGAAACTGAGGCATGGAGCAGGGGTGTCTCCAGGGAAATTTGCACCCTTCCTATCCCTCTCTCAAACCTCTTTTCAGCCCAGGGAGTGGCAGCTCCATCCTATGGGTGCATGCTCTGTGCAAATCACTTCCCTGCTCCTTCTACAGGCCCTTGCTGGGGACAGCTCCATGGGGGCTTGTTTTGGGCAAAGGACGTTGAGGCTTTAAGGGGTGCACTGCGCTGCATTGGGGGCTACCAGAGGACTGTGTTTTCCTTGGGAGTTGGAGAGCTGCAAGAGTGCCATGGGGTGTGCTCACTGCTATGCTGTCTGCTCAGCTGCCACAGGGGCTCCAGGCTGGCCATCCTGCTGCTCAGGCCCTCTTAGCATCCAACAGTGTGCACCAAACAGAAACAGGACAGCTAGTGCCTGATGGCCCTGAAGACAGCAGCTCTGGGTGCTGGGATGAAGACAGTGGGGGTCAGGGGCTCTGCATGTGGGGCAAAAGCCCCCTCAGCAGTTCCTGGGCACTGGCATCCCTCTTCAGCACATGGCAAGGGGGTTTGGCTGCACAGGGCACTGCAAGCCGGGGTGGTGTGTGTCAATGTACTCGTGTTTTCCACGGAGCTCTGGCTCCTGGCCGTGTGCTCCTGGCAAGGAAATGAGAGTGGGGCAGCCTGCCCTGGTGGCTGCTGAGAAACTGGCCCTGCAGATCCCAGGTGTCCCCAGGGTGGCTGAGGATGGGCAGATGTTGTGACAGGAGTGGCAGGAGGGACTCACCATCCTCTGCC